TTTAAGCCTTCCTCCAAATGCCAGATGCCGTAGTGCATCTTGTCTTACAGAGCCCTAACACGGAAAAGGACAAGGCTCATGACAAAACCAGAAAAAGAAAAGAAAAAAAGAAAAGCAGGATTAGTAGCACACTTATTAAAGATGAGCAGAACCATCTTCCTGTTCTCGAGTGTCCATCAATCATCAATTACGGCTGCATTAACCCGTTTGGGGACCTTGATAATTCAGAGTCACCGCTTGATCCTCGCCTGATAGAGTCGCTGTGGGTGTTTGGCTTGTCAACGCTCTTCACTGACAATTAAACCTATAATTTCATAGACGATGTACGGCTCCGTGATGCAGAGCAGCTGTCAGCCATCGTTAGCTGTCCGAGCAGGAACGAGAGGGAGAGCGAGGCAGAAGAGACAAAGATTGAGGGACAGAGGGAGGGAGGAACTGAGCTACTTATAAAGAGGGGGACAAAAAATGATAGAGAGGTATCTACAGATGGCTCCTTTTGCTGCGATAAGTCATGATGATAAATGGACAGAGGGAGCAGAGCCAGACAGCAGGGTGAAAAAGAAGAGATGTTTGGCAGGGTCTCACCGTGGCCGGCTCGTAGTCCCATTGGGGAGCGGTGTATTGGTACAGGAGGCTGATGGTGCCTTGGCCCCTGAGGGCCACGCGGGTGATCAGGCCGGGGCAGCGCGGGGGCCACAGGGGCGCCAGAGGTAGGGGACAACAGGTGGAGATCTGGAGATAAGGAACCCCATGCAGAACCCAGCGTCATCCATCCCACGGCCAGAAGCAACATCCAGAACAGTTGGCCCTCCTGGGGCTTTCCTTCGGGGAGCATCACTCCCTCCTCCCCCTCTCACAGGATATTTAAAAGAAAGTGAAGAAGCAGGCGTGCTCGGTTCTCAGAAAAAGTGACTTTCTGGTTGCCGGTGAAAAGCAGCAAACTCCATAACAAGAGGGAAATCGAGACAAGATCCCCGATGGGGTAGGATCCCTCCAAACAAGACGCAGCCGAGCCAGGTCTCGAGGACTCCACTCATTGGAATTCTCCAGATATCCCGTTGCTCTCCGTTTGCTCGCTGGCTCTTTGAACCAGAATCCAATATGTCTTTACTTTCTTTTCTCGGCAGGATCGCCCCGTGGCAGTTCCTTTGATGACCACGTAACCCTGCTGGAGCGCGCACACGCACACGCTTGTGGACGACACCTGGAACGCGTCCCTTTGCGCCCTTTGGGTAAATGAGAAAGCGATGGTGAGAGTGAAGAACCCGCTGCTGCAGCCCCTCCGCCTCGCTTGCGCAGCTTCGCTGTGCTGTGCTCTGCACAGCTCCGCTCGTCAAGCCACAGATAACACACAAGGCTCAGCTATGAGCCTGAGGAGGAGGGAGAGGCGAAGGGAGGGAACGACGGGGAAGATGCGGAGCTCCGCGCACTCCGGCATGAACTGTCAGTTTTCTGTTTTTCTACCGTCTCAGCGGAGGCGCACTTTCAACATCCTTATAGCTCAGCCACAGACTCTCAAAGCGAGGTTGAGATCTTTTCTCTTCCTAGAGTTTGGATCCAACATTTGCCTGACTTCTCCAATCTCTTTCTCTAGCTCTCGCTTTATTTCGCCCCCTGAAGACGTGAGGCAGTCTGGCTTGTTAACCCGGGGAGACCAAGACTGATAGCTCTTTGTATTACTCCACAAGAGAATGAGAGAGATTTTCAGACTTGATAACGAAAGAGGGGAAAAAGGAGAAGATGAGAAAATGAAGGGGCTGGCAAGGAGAGTTGGGAGGGTGAGATGGAGAAGTAGGGGCAAAAAAAGTGAGGAGAAGGGATTGGGAGGATGCAAGAATGACGGAAAGGGAGAGAAAGAGGAGGATGGGAGCAAGCTCAGGTGAAACTAAGCGAAGATGATGGGACAGAGGAAGGGAGGGCAGGGCAGGGGAGGGAAAGGGGAAGGGCAGAAGTACCAAGTGGGCCAGTCTATGCAAATCCTCCCCGAGCAGCGAGCAAATCAGGGAGCCAGGCAGCCACTGCAGAGGAGTGGGCTGCCTTTAGTCACAGGGAGGGAAGAGGTAAGAGAGGATCCAGGGAATGAATGGTGGAGGGAAAGAAGCATGAGAGGTAGATTTGTGATTGTAGTCCTTCTATATGGTATTCCCGGAATTCCATTTTTAGATCCAGCAACGCAGAGCCACTTTTCCCCCGCAACGCTATGTGACTTCTTCTCCCTCTATGTTTTGATGATTCTCAAAGACTATTGAAGCCCCATCACTGAACGAGGAGAAGACGAAGAAGAAAAAAAACCCATGCATAATGCACACAGTAAGAGATTTGGTGAATTTCAAAAGAGTAAAATCTCTCTCCTCTCCGCAGCGAAGACAGAAAAGAAAGGCTGGCACTCCCTGCTCTGTCAATCTTTTCTTCTGTTGTAGAAAGAGAGTGGGGCGGGGGTGAACTGTTTCCAGGCCTTGGGAGAAATTCACACTGAAAAGTCAAATAGCAGTTTAATCATGTTTGCTTTCAAACTTTAATTTGATCTGACTCCAGCGCTCGCTGTTTGCTGCTGACCTTTTGGATTAAATTGTAGAAATTCCAAGACGACAGAAGCTGCTACGGCGCGGCGGAGGGTTCATTGTTGTTCTGCAATCGAGGCAAAAGGAGCTTTGTGGAGCGGCGGAGCGCGGCCGGGAACCCAGGGCTCCGGGATCGGTTTGTTTTTTGTTGCATTCGCCTGTCTGTTTGTGATTTCACGTTTGGGAGGAGTGCTTTATCTGACGTACCTGGTGGCACGGTCCTTTTGGCGCTCGTGAGTGCACAAACGTTTCATAGGCAAATAAATGCCAGAGGAGAGGGAACATCCTGCTACTCACTGATCCGCAGAGGAGAAATGTCTCAAAGGCGCAGAATGTTCAGCTAAGCTAAAGTTATTGCACACAGATAAGGGGCGAAAGAATGTGCACTTGAGTTCACAAGAAGAAAGCATGTTTAAATGTGTGTACTTCAGGTCAAGTCAAGTTTATCTGTATTGTACATAATACAAATAAACTCAGCAACAAAGCAGTTCAAAGTGCTTAACAATAATGAAACAAGTAATTGTCAAATATCAGCATCAAAATGGTAACAAATATGTTGATGAATGTTCCACTTACGACTACAACTATCAGGTGGGCTTCAGTCTCGATTTGAAAGAACTCAGTGTTTCAGCTGTTTAGCAGTTTTATGGAAGTTTTGTTCCAGGTTTAAATCAAGTAATACCAAAGCACTGAAGTGAGCAAAGCGTTCTCGAGCTGCACAGAGTGACACAGTACTTCCCCTCCTCCACCTACTGCTACTCACAGACAAACAACCTGACTCCTACACTCTTCCCTCGCTCTAAACAAAGACAACTTTGGCTATTTTTGATGTTTCAGCTCCTAAACGTCAGATTTTACTCTCCATATAGAGTTTCTAATGTATTTTTAATCATCAAAGCCCGTTTGTACTGGAGGGCATTGTTGTACTTTTCCATGTGCAAGATTTAGTTAAATGTCAACGAATGGTGCAGAGCTGTGCGCAGAGTCTATGTTATACATCTCAGAGAGAGCACAGACAGACTGAGCTAAATATATTGCGATGAAGATTGAATCTGAACGCGGCTATTCTCAGATTAATCTGAGCACAATTTGGTAACAAAAGAACAAACAATGAAGTCGGTGCTAGGGTAATGCTGTAACTCTAAGACCGCCTGTGCAATGCTGCTGATTGAAATCTTTCACAGAGAAAAATTTATGCATAATGCACACAGTAAGAGATACAAAGCCACCTCTGATATTTTGTACAAATACTCTGCCAATTAATTAAAACTGAAATTGCGTTAGCTTATCTATAGATCGGGCAATAAGTCAACCCAGTGCTTTCTAAAAAAAATAAACAGATACCCACAAGCAGAGTACAGCATAATTCTGAAATGAAAGGAAAAGGATGCATCTTTGTTTTATTTTTATTTATAGATGAAAATAAAAATGTAAAACATGTGGTTCTTGGGTAAAGCCTGCCCATTTCATACCAATGAATTGCATTCTTTCTCTTCCAACTTCCACTACATACACATAAACATACGAATTTGTACCCATAAACCACGGTGCGCAAGTTTAACTTTTATTTTAGTTGGCCATTTTTATGTATTGTGGTGAGAAATTTGAAGAAAATGCTCAAATCAAAGTATTTTTATTCAGTTGTACATTTCTGTATTAACAAGCTTTGTATTACACGTTATATCTATTTTATAAATCCTATTTGCGACCTCTGTATAGACTATCTGACTTTAATAAAATTACAACTCACGATCCCTGATCCAAGCACAATAACTAAGTGACCTCCTGGTGGGGGATAGTATTTATTGGAGTCATGTAACCGCTTTTAAAATCGTATAAATGCCCAGCAGCAGACGGCTCCATTTGATAGCCAAAGATATTGGGCTCAAATGATAAAAACCTATAAGATACAAATGGCAAAGCTCACTTTGTAGAAGCACCGTTTTTTTCTCTGCCTTTACATCTGCAAGCCTTTCGGTATCTGGTTTTACCGCTTCTGAAATTCCAAAAACTGAAATGTTTGCCTTCTTTTTTGACTTTTAAATCACAATCTCCTGCTCAGTCAGAGTGGATTGAAAGATCCTCAGTTAGTTTGACATGTGGACTTTGATTGGCCTATTTTAGCACATGCTGTGATCTAAATACTTTCATGATAGAACCAGCTGTCTGTTTTCCAGCCTCGATGAGGTTTTATTTTCTAGGATTTCTCTATACGTGAAGCCATCATTTTTTCTAACGGTTCTGAAGAACTCCCTTGTCCCTGAAGCAAAGCAACCCCACAGTATAATGGCTCCACTGCCATGGTTATTGCTTTTTTCCCCCCAGTAAGCTAATATCAAAATGTGCATCAATGGGAAGCTCTTTTTCGCTACATCAAGTCCATCACAAAACCTCTCTGCTGCGACAGCCACATGCCAGCCGCCACCTGCAGGAGAGCTTTGGATAATTGGAGTGGCTGGGAAATATGGAAACTTTACGTTTAAAATGCATCATAGTGTGTAAAAACATCTAAGCACTAAAATTCTCTTTAGTTTAAGACCAAATGAGAGTGTTATTGTAGAGAACAGAAGATCATAACCCTCCAAAACCCCTGCAGCCAAAACGAACAATCTAGAAGGCAGCTACTGTCTTCACAGCGCTGCACAGTATACAATCTTCTTGAAATAACACAGCTGTTGCTCTGTGCTCTGGCTTTCAACTGATTCAAATATCTGGACATGAGACGGGCACGCTTGGTCGCCTGCATGCCAGCCGCAACAGCAGCTCTGCGGCCGCTTTTCTTTTTTTTTTCTTCTTCTTTATATTTGCATAGACGTTCACTGAAGCATAGGCAAGCAAGCCACCTGTATACCACAGGCACAGGGGAGCGGATTATACCGTGACCCATAACTTGATCTCCTGTTGCTTGAGCCACACCTGAAATACCTGAATCTGAAATTTTCTGCTAGTTTTTTCTTTTTTTTTTTCTTCCACCCCTTCCGAAGTCGGCAACCGCAAAAAAAAAAAAAAAGAAAAAAGAAAAAAGAGAAAAAAATCTTTGGGAGCGTGGCGTCTCATGCTGACTCAGTAATGAAGTCTCGTCAGGATCGGAGCTAATTAGTGTTTTACATTATGATTCCTCGGCGGTGTCTGTGTGTGACAGATGAAGTCTGCTCCGCTTTGCCCCGCGTGCAGGCAAATGGAGCGCAAAACATCTTAATGTTACAGAAGAGTGGGAACGGAGGAGAGAGGAACTCTATTAACATCAGAGAGTGATTCATAACTAAAAACAACCCTCCAGAACAAAACAGGCAGCGCTTTCTGTATGACAGAATAAAAAGGTACAGGAACCAGCATTTACTCCCATCTGTTTTCGATTATTCCGTCACACTTAATTGGTTCAGATCATCAAATAAAATATAGATTTCTTATTTTTGTTTGATATTAAAATTAGTTTGGTGATTTGTTCATTTTCTGTGACAAAAAAAGGAAGACAAGAGGGCAAAAATTTTTTCACAGAATTGTATATTATGAAAAAAAAAAAAAAATTATATATATATATTCGTAAAATGTGTTCAAATAAGACGCTACATTTTGCTAATAGTAGTTAGCATATAGTGAGCATTTATTGTGTTGTTTATCATTTATCGTGATAAATTTTCTTTTGATTTATTGTTGTCATGATTAATGATGTTTAAAACCAGAACCTTATCACCAGGATTGATAGTTTTATTAGAACAAGGGGTGGAGTACCAATAAACTTGAAAATAAAGTCACATGTGCAGTTTAGTCATACAAATCCACTTCTTTATGTGACCGACGTCCTAAAGAAGAGAATTACGAAAATTAAAGCTTTTCAAGAACATTGTTTGTGGGGCTGTAATTGCTGTAACACACTGTCACAGTCATGTAGTTACCCAAAAAAAAAAATAAAATTATCGTCACTTTTATCACAATAGCACAGCAAAATATCGCGACAAAACTTTAAGTCCAGATCGCCGACATCCCATATTTGTAAATATTAATGACACTGTCACGGTCTTGGTGTTTCCTCTTGTAGTTTCCTCCAGTAAGTCTGAAATAACTGTTGTTGTGGGATGTTTCAGGATTTAGCCCCCCTCACCCTCCACATACAAACAGCTCCAAACCTCTGATCCTGGCAAGTGACAGGCATTAAAGGAGGATTGGCAGAGGACAAAGCCCGTCGCCTGGTACTCGGAGCATCACAGTCTGACACAGGAGACACATGACGAACTCTCAAGTGAAATGAAACAAGAAGAAGAAGTCGATGTCAACGGCGGCGCAGTAAACAGCATTTGAAGCTTCCACTCTGAAGCAAATGTGCACGTGTGTGTGTTTGTGTGTGTTTGTGTGAAGCCGTTTTATCTGCTACTCAGCGGTTTGCATCCTTTTGGTGTCGCTAATCTTTTATACGTTCAAGTCAGGAGACGGTAAGCTGCTGTTGCGTTTCAAGCAAAATAAGTGACTATTTACCAAAGCAGGGGCAGAAGGTGCAGCTGTGCTCTGGATCTGGCTGTACCAGAACCAACACCACCAGCCCAGCAACTTCCTGAAGGGACGTTAATTAGAAACTACAATGAGTTAAAGGTACCCGCCACAAATTAGTTGCAAAATCTGTCTGGTTTATATTCAGGGGAAAGGTCAAACAAGGTCAAACAAAGATACATTACTCAGGATTCACTCTCCTCAGCATAATTGACTCCAATGAAAGAGTAACTGGACCTATTTTCTGATTTATTCTGCTAATAATTGCTTGACCAACTTAAGGGATTTTTCCTCGTCATTTTTTTTTCCTCTGAAGAGGTTTTCTTCAGGAAAAAAAAAGGGGTAAATGCTTTTAGAGTAGAAGTAAAACTGGTGCCATTAATTTCAATATTTAGGCTTTACATATTTTGCGGCTTTCCTCCGACATGACTAGCATAAACCTAATAGCTATGAGAGTTGCAAAAAATGTAAGCCTAACCCTATATCAAAGCAATATTTCCATCTCTTCAGGCCGCCTACACCCACACTCACTGCTGTTATACCTCGCCTATGGATAAAGAGCAGTGATCCAGTCATTGCACTGCACCGAAGCCTCACACACTTAATAATGAATGAACGATGGAATCAAAACTGACAGGCAGCAAATGAAACGTTGCCATTTGTTTTCAAAGATTCAAAATGCAGCAAACCAACATTTTACTTATACATGAAGCCCAAAGCCTCAGCCGGACGGCAGCGACTCCGGGGTGAGCCGAGCTGAGCCTCCAAAACAATATAAACAAGCAGACAAATGCATCACCGAACACTTGCACTGAGAATGACCACATGAAGTTGCCAGCTTTTAAAAACCGTGCATGCTTTTATGAGTCAGACAACACTGGAGATGAAGGAATCAATTAAAAATGAATGACAATCTGCCACAAGTGTATTTCTGCTCTTGTAGATGTGAGCTACAGTACCCCTCACAATTATTGTTTTGGTTTCGGCGAAGATGTGTTTCAAGCTTTTTTTTTTTTTTTTTGCTTCAATAACGTCACGTCCCATTGAAAAAGTTTGAAGAATCCAGGCATTAAAGCTGCTGACCTGTTTCCTCGTCTTTCATCGTACCCCGAATGCTTACGACGACTTCAAACGAGAAACTTCAAAGTTTATTGAAGAAAGTGCAGAGAAATTACGCAAGTAGAGTCACGTGCGGGAAATGTGTGCGCTCTCAAAACCAAACACAAAAATCAGAACCATCACATGCTAATACTGCCTGGTTCTGGTTCAAAGACACACCACGGGTACTGGATCCATTTTTTTCTTACCACCAACACAAAAAGTCAGATACGAGTAAAAATAAAAGTAAGGCTGTCTCTTTGGTAAAAGACCATCCATCCTTGTAACCTGTACTCAACTCTCAAGTCGGCTAGAATGCACAAAACCGTAGAGATATTGAGAAATTTAAAGCCCCATTTCACACAGGAGTCTTGCTCTTTTGCCAGCGGATGAAGTGAGTGCGAGTAACAGCCAGCGTGCAACGGACACCGGCACTGTTTTCACACCTTGGATTCCTCGTCATACCTCTGGGATGTTATTTGAAAGCCCACAAGTCGGACAGAATGACTCCTCCTCTTCCGACCGACACAAACAAGCAAAGATAAGTAATGCCGGCTGGAACCAGGGACTCCTTTTTTTTTTTTTGTGGCATTGCAGCGTGATGGCTGTGCGAAAAGGGCTTAGGATACCAGAAGGAGTGACCAATGAAGTTAACACACTCACACAAAGGGCTTTACTCGGTGTGAAACTGCTGCAGTTGGCTGGAACAGACACCAAACAACTACAGTGTACCTCCCCACCATACAGACCCGGCTGCAGACTACAGAAGTTTTTTTGACACAAGCTTTGATAACAGCTCTCCGCAGTCAATCTGCCCAAGTAAGCAGGCACCACTTTGCAAACACAGTCCATGCTCTGCACAAACACACAGCCTCGCCTGTAGATATTACTTTGAGAAATAGCAGATGTGAATTGATTTGGCCCGCCTTGGCAAAAGAAAGGAATAAATTACCTCGAGAGGGAGGCTATCTCCACTTTTTTTTTTTACCCCCAGCCTCGGAGTTATCACAAAGAGCTCTAAAGTGAAACTACAGCCGCTCACTTAAAGACCGGCTAACAGTTCTGTGTTAGAGTCACGCCGACTTAACCCGCCACCCACAATTTGAGTTCAATCAAAACAACAAGGTGGTATTTTTGTCCAAATATACTACAACAATCTTCCACAATAAATGAATGACGACCTGTAAGGTATGAGGTTTAAAATAAACTGAACAGCTGTGCTGCTTTAAGGGCATACAGATCCTGATGAAGCACATTGCTCCTACAGAGCATCATGCCTTTTAGCAGACGCAGAGACAAGCTGATAATATCAAGCAGCGTTTTGCATAATGGGATGTCACATAAGCAAGTTGTCCTCATAAAGGTCCAAGATATAAATACATGGTATTTAAAAAAAAGACAGATGAAACAGTGACATTAAGTTCAATTATATTTAACTATTAGGAGACAGAAACAATAGCATAAAAATAAAGAAAATACAGTGACCTATCAAGCATTTATCACATATACTGTGTTTGCAGTTCTCTAAGCTTCACTTATAGCAAAGTGTAGCATAGCATAGTATACAATAGCATAGCAGAGAATAGTACAAAATAGCATATTATAGATTAGCATAGTGTATTGTAGCACAGCATAGCAAGTGATGTGTTGATGATGGGATAATAATGCAAGTTCACACTCTTGAAGGCTGATAAACTTTAACACTGGAAATGAGAGAGATATGTTAAATATCCAAAATGAAACAACCACAAACAATAAATATAAGGCAAAGAAAAAACACACGTAACTGAAACTAGAAGTATCAATTATCAGAATGGAAATTGAGCTCACTTTAATTTATCGTGCAATTAATTGATATTTTGCTTATGATGACGGGCGTACTTGTTAAAATGTGGTAACATCTGACAGGAGAACGTTCTCAGACGAGCAAGTTCCCTACGTGATTCTTTCCAAACCATGTGGAGTTTATTTACTTGTAAAAAGAACTGAAAATCAGCAGCATTTTCCTTTAGCTTGATACATTTTACATTTTGTTTTTAGTCCATAATGCAAAATCCCCCCACTCCCCCTCAAAAAATAAATAAAAATCCAATGAAGTTTGTGACTATGTTAAGATAAAAAATGTAGTATGAATACTTTGCAAGGCATTCTATAAGATTTATGCATAAAAGAAAATGGGTTTTTAACTGGATTTGTGTAGTTTATGGGTGCTTCCTATGGCAATCGATACATATAACACACTTCAGTACTTTGGGAAATACATTTATTCATGTTAAGTTGTGTAAGAAAAAATAAAATCCATCTTATCCAAATATGCATCCATTCAATATGTAGCTCCTGCCAGTAGCCAGTTAGCATTGTTCAGTGTGTAAACCTGAAATCAAAGCTAGCAAAACTGCCCTATCGACATTTTCAGAGTTCACTCATCATAGTTTATGCAACGTTGTTTACACATTAGAAACTGAAAAATACATGAAGTGCAGCTTCGTATTGAACGGCCGTTGTGTCGGGCTGCAAAGATATCCAAAGGGGGGGGGAGAAGATTATGCCTTTAACTGTGAGAGGTTGAAACTAATATAAAAATCTTGTTTTTAAGCGAGCTGATCTCCCCGAGCATTAGCCTATACCATGCACACGTTACGGGCTCGGGTGCATTTCGTTATCTGCGCACCCCCTTTCCCACGAAACGGCGACAAAGCCACTGTCCCCGAGCTGATCCGGGATCAAAGG